GGGAGGATGTCCCAGGCGAAACCGCCATTCTCTGACAATCGGGGTTAAACATATTGAAATTACAATGTGTGTGTTTTGAAGGTTTTACATTAAAATGTTGACATTCCCATGTGTTTTCGGACCCTGACGTCACGATCTGTGTGAGGGGTGCCACCGATTTTCAGAAATTTGAGGATGTCCCTAGCGAAACGGCCACACAAATCGCGAACGACGCGGCGCGTATGCATTAATCGCCTCTGAGCTCTACTCCCTCGGAGAGGTGCGTATGATAATCTATGTATGAAGGGGTATCTCTTCTTCATTGTACACATACCTGCACATTCATATTTTAGCACTTACGTTTGATGGGTGTCTCCCTGTAAGTCCCTTTCGCTGTACTTGGCGATATGATATTCTGTGCACTCGTACAAGCAATTGTACATACATAGGTGCTCATATATATATATATATATGTATTGGTGCTGCATATAGGGTTTCTTTCCGGCGTAGATATACACATATATACAACCATACGGTTTGACGTCTTGGTCGGACTACAAGTGTAGTCAGGTGAGCCTGACACATATCAGTGTACATGTCCAACCTATCATTTTCTCTACCTCGCCCTCTCACTCTACCTTCCTACCAAACGACAACCACATACACCTCCGCATATAATAATGTTTAGGTCTATGTTTATGTATATGTATGTGTTTTTGTGCATGAGTATGTGTATGCATGTGTATATGTACACGTGCACACACATATATACACATATATACACATATGTGTGTGTGTGTATGTGTATGCATGTGTCTATGTATATGCATATATCTATGTATGCATATAGGTGTATATATATGAATCTTTATATTCAGATGTACATGCATGCATGTATGCCTGTACGCATGCATGCATGCATGCATGTATGCATGCATGCATGCATGCATGCATGCATGCATGTACGTGTATGTATGTATGCACGTATGTATGTATGCATGTACGTCTGTATGTATGTATATATGCATGCATGCATGCATGTATGTATGCATGCATGCATGCATGTATGTATGTATAGGTATGTGTATATATAGTGTGTATATGCATATTTATTTCAAAAGACGGGGCCCCAGGTTCAGGGCCCCCAGGCCTGGCCGACGACCACAAATGTGTGGACGAGGCTGCCCAGTGCCTTGCCAGGGCGCCAGAGGCCATCCAAGATCGACCGAAGACGGCTCTCGATCGCCTGCCACTGCATGTCAAGACCGCCACAACGGCCCATGACGGCTCCCAGACAGCCTAAGAGTCTTCCAAGACGTCCCAAGAGGCCTCCAAGAGGACTCCCACGAGGGTCCCGAGAAGCCTAAATGATTGTTTTTCAAGTGGTTTTTGAAAGTTTGCAGTTTTCCCGCCTTCTTGGCTTCCCGACGCCCCAAGACGGCCCTGGAATCACCAAAGATCGCTCTGAGACGGCCCAAGAGTCCTTGATTTATGTTGGCGTGTGCCTGAAAGTAGCCCTCTCCGAGATCGGACGACTCCCAATCAAGGCAGCACCGCGAAGAAGGAATCACGACCGTAGACCCCATCTGTCTGCGGCAGTAGCTCTCGAGCCGTATCGACCTGTGATGATCGCGGTGCCCGGAAACGTCCAGTGTGAAACATCTGAAGCCTGGATCGTGACTGTTTTCTTATTCAATGTTTTGCCGATCGGCGTGGGCCCTCGTACACCCCCCCCCCCCCCCCCGTGGAGCAGCTCTTGGCGGTTTCTGGTGCCTGCTTCAGGCAGGTGGAGTCTCCACCCCACAGAACGCACTGCTGCAATCAGGCGCACGAAGCAGGGGTCCGGAACCCGACCCCCCAATTCCTCCCCCGTTTCCGCCCAATGCGCCCTCGAGGGCGCGAAGTTGTTCGCGCTTCGGCTCCGATTCCTCCTCGTCCTCCTCTCCTCCCCGGGGAGGCGGCGCGAGAGCGCCCGCGCTTCACGCAGCGCGGAGCGCGAAGTTGGGAGCCCTTAGAATAAGAAAACGTTCGCGATTTGGGGGCCCTTTCCCGCAGCCCTCCCCCAAAGCAGAGATGCCTCCCGGCACGGCCGCCGGAGCGCGCGGCGCCTGCCCGTTGGGGGGGCCCAGCGCGCGAGGACGCCCTGCGCGCCGAGAGCCCGCTGGCGAGCCGGCTCCGCGTGCCCCCCCTCTCGCCGCACGCCCTATCGACGGAGTCTTGCTCCACCAGGGCCTCCTCGCGTCGGGACAAAAAATCGCGACGGTAGGTCTTGTCGCTATTTTCGGCCTCGGGGGGGGGGCCCCTTCCTGGGCATCGGGGCCGTCAAGAAACGACTCAGGAGGAAGAGCCGGTCCCGGGGAAAGGGTCCAGATCTCTGGGGGTCGGCGTTGTGGAAATTACGACGTCGGGGGTTAGGGTTGTTGGCTCGAGCGGCATTTTAACATAACTCGGACATGGCCTAGCAGTGAGTAGCCTGGCTTACACGCCTTCAGTCTTCTATGCGTTGCTATCCCTCCTCCTTCTCTCCCGTTCCATCGTTCTGCCTTCTTCATTCAGCGGCGCCCCGGCGCAGGTCGCTGTTCGCTGTTCGCGCTGTTCGCTAGCAGATGTGTGCCAACGTGTTGAGAATGCATTGTCTAGTTGGAGCTGGTATTTTCAGACGTGCGCGCTCTGGTATTGCAAAGAAGGGGAAAGGTAGGGGACCGATCTCTCTCTCTCTCTCTCGATACGTATATATATTCCTCTCTCTCTATATATATGTATATCTCTATATCTACATATATATCTATATATATATATATCTATCTATATAGCTATATATTTATACATATCTATATATATATATATATATACATGTATCTATATATGTATATATCTATATATATATATATATCTATATCTATCTATATCTATCTATCTATCTATCTATCTATCTACCTATCTATCTATCTATCTACCTACCTACCTATCTATCCATCTATCCATCTATATATACATATATATAGATATATATATCCATCTATATATATATATATATGCATCTATCTAGCTATGTATCTATCTATCTATATGTCTCTCTCTATATATATATATATACACCGACGCTTGTTCCGGCCCTCCACTGAAATTTGCACAGGAACCGAATCCTGGTTTAATATGGACCCTGGTGTAGACATGTTTCGTCGTTTCCCCAGGCAACGGATAACAGAACAAGTATGCACCACACCAGCCCGACGTCGTCCCCGACCCCTGTAAAACAGCCCACCGCTGGTAATGTATGTCGGCGGCGAACGAGGAGGGGAAGTGAGAAGGAGAAAGCCCTCTCAGAAGACGGGGGGACTTCTCAGAAACCCTCGCGATCTCCGAGAAGCCTGTGTCTGCCGTCGGAGAAGGCGCAGAAGCCTTCGCAGAAGGCTGGGGGGCTGCCGAGCCCGAGCCTTTCTGAGCAGGCCTTCTCCCTCTCACTTCCTCCCCGGTCTTGCCGCCGAGTAGCTGTTCCAGGCTCCGAAGATCAGGCGATCGCACACTTGGATCAAGGGGGCGTGGATCAGTGGCGGGTCCCACTCCCATGGGAACTCGTGGATTTCCGCCGCCGAGCGAGGCGGCACCGGCCGCACTCTGGGGAGGTCACCTCCCCCGATCCATGGATTTGGCGACCGCGCGCCAAATCCATAGATCTCAGAAGCCAGGCGAAGGCTGGCAAACCCGTGGCTGCTAAAAGTGAGCTCCGGGAACTTGTTTTTCTCTCCCGGGAAGCAGCCCTTGTCGTATTCAGTGAGCTGAGGTGTATTCCGGGAATCTTTTTTTCCCTACCTAGGCTCTGCCTAGAAGGGTTCTTACTCGGTAAACCAAAGGGCCGGGCAGTGGGCCACGCCCAGGGCGGTTCCCCCCGCATCCGCCCCGCGGTTCCCCCAGTTGCGCCCCCTGGGTTCACCCAGCTTAGCTTAGCTTAGCTAAGCTTAGCTTAACTTAGCTTAGCTTAGCTTATCTCATCTTAGCTTAGCTTAGCTTTGCCTAGCCTAGCCTAGCCTAGCTTAGCGTAGCTTAGCTTAACTTAGCTTAGCTGAACTTGTCTCATCTTAGCTTAGCTTAACGTAGCTTAGCTTAGCTGAGCTTGGCTTAGTTTAGCTTACCTTAGCCTAGCCTAGCTTAGCTTAGCTTAGCTTAGCATAGCTTAGCAGACCTTAGCTTAGCTTAGCGCAGCGCAGCATAGCACAGCGCAGCATTAGCACAGCATAGCATAGCATAGCCAAGCACAGCACAGCATAGCACAGCTCAGCATAGCATATCATTTCATAACATGGAATAACGCATCATAGCATAGCATAGCATATCATTTTTTATTATTGCTTAATATATCATATCGCATCACAACATATCATGTCATATTATATCATCTCATATCATACCATATCATACCATATCAGATAATAGCATATCATGTCATATCATATCATATCATGCCATATCACATCACATCACATCACATCACATCACATCATGTCATATCGTATCATATCATATCATATCGTATCATACCATATCATACCATATCATGTCATATCATATCATAGCATAGCATACCATATCATATCATATCATACCATATCATATCATATCGTATCATTTCATATACTAACGCAACATACCATAGCGCAGCATATCATAGCATAGCACAGCCTAGCATAGCACAGCATAGCGCATCATATCATAGCATATCATAGCATAACGCAGCATATCATAGCATAGCATTTATGTAAAGGTAGCTGCCGGTGTAGATGCAGATGTTGTTTTCCTAAATGCTCCAACTCCTAGGTAGGGTCGCACTGGGATAATTTTGTTTGCTTTCATTCCGGGAAGACCGCTGTAACAGCCACGGATCTGCCAGCCCTCGCCCAGCTTCCGAGGATCGTTGATCCATGCCTGCGCGCCCATGCCTGCGCGCCCCCGAGAGTGCTGCGGCCCCCTACCGAGAGTTCCGCGGCCCGCGCGGAGATTTTCTGCCTCGCGGTCTGCGCCGGCCCCTCCCCCCCCGCGGGGGGGGCGGCGCCTCTGGGCGTGCCGCCCCGGGCCTGCCCCGGGGCGCGAGAGTTCCTATCAGGGGCAACGATCGGCCCAGAGTTAAGTCGGGCGTGTCCCCCTACAGGCGGATTTTCGACGACAAATAGAAAATACCCCCCAAATATACCAAAAAGGCAAAACATATTTTAAAAAATTGTCCCCAGACTATTTTTGGATTATTTTCTCATTATTGTGGGGGTACTTTTTCATTTTTTGTCGAAAATCCCCCCTGTAGGGGGACAGGGCCGACTTCAGCCAGGAGATCCAACGTATCGAAAAACTCCAGGCGGAGGTTTTTCGCCGTTTTCGACCTCTAGGGTTGTGATGTTCCAACCTACTGTAGCCTTGACTCCCAGGAAGAATTTCGAGCACAATAACACAATACCGAAATTCGAGGGTTTTCACGCGTCGGGCCCTGGGGACACTCGTCCGACACTGTTTCGACACTCTTTCGACACTCTTTCGACACTTTCCCGGGTGCTCGAAATTATTTCTGGGATGTGGTCCTTAATTCGGATGGGAGCAACAGAACTCTAGGGTCCCTTACCGAGCCTCGGGACCGTCAAGAAACGACTCAGGATGGATAACCGGTCCTGGGGAATGGGTTGAGACTTCCGGGGACGCTGTACTGAACAAATCACGACATCGGATCTCTGGGGGGGCGGATAGGCATGGGGGGGATGCACCGACCCCCAATCACCCATTGATCGCCGATAGGGGCTCGATAGCCAACCTGCCCAGGAAGGTGCGGACTCACTATCGGGGCCGTGTCGCCGATCTATTGGCGATGTATCGCCGACTCCAGGTCGATGCAAACCCCATACATGCCAGTCCCCCCTATCGTTACCGCCTCAGTGAAGTCGGGCGTGTCCCTCTACAGGAGGCAAAATTGAAAAATAATCAAAAAGTAATATGTGGAACTTTTTTTGTGTATTTTCGGCTGTTTTTGAAGATTTGTTGATGATTTCATATTTTCCCATCCAAAATCCCCCTGTAGGGGGACATGCCTGACGTAACCCCAGGCGCCAGAGAGGGGCCTCCAGCGCAGATCCAGGATATTCGCGCGGACCGTCGAACGTCCCTGTTTGTGCAGCTGTGTGTCAGCGCTCTGGCTGACCCCCGTTCGCATCGACCCCCGCCTCTCGAGCCCTGATCGTCGCAGCCAGGTCTGGAGGCCCGCCGAGTTGGCCGGAGGGGGACGGGCTTCCTGAGGGCAATGGTCCGAGGCGGAAATTTCTACATGACCACCGCCTGGAGGGTCAGTTTTCGGAGCCTCGGCAGGCGGTGGATGTGGGGCCCCCCGGGGGCCGAAGCATCTCCACATCCACCGCCCGCTGGGGCGCCAGAACGTCGGTCCCCAGGCGGTGGACATGGACGCATCCCCGCCTCGCCCAGGGTGCCGTGGGGCGCCGGCGTGGTGCCGCCGGGGAGCGCCGCCGCCCCTGGTGCGGGGGCGCTCGCCTCTCGGCAGCCGTGTCGTGGCGGGTTTTCTAAGGGCGCCCTCGAGGGCGCGAAGTTCTTCGCGTGTCGCGCTTCGCGGTTCGGCTCCGATGTCCCCCTCGTCCTCCTCTCTTTCTCCCCGGGGAGGCAGCGCGGGAGCGCGAAGTTCTTCGCGCTTCGCGCTTCGCGCAGCGCGGAGCGCGAAGTTGGGGGCCCTTGGTGTTCCGAGCGTGCAGGCCGTCGATGAACTGAGAGAATGCCGGGGCTTTGCTGTCGATCCTTTCCCGTGTTCGTCAATCCTCCGTGTTGTTCTGTCTGTCAGTGTTCCTCCTCCTGGGACTTCCTCTTATCTTCTTCCCCCTCTGCTTGATCCTGATTGCTTCCACCGCGGCCACTGGCACTTGGTTTCTACCATCCCAACCTCAAGCATGTGGCCCGTTGTCGTCCAGTTCTTGGTTTCTGCGGTAACGGATTCTCCCGTGAGCCGCCGAAGTCGTCTACAAAGCTTCCCCCCCCGCCGCGGCGGCGCAGTGCGCCCGCCCGGGAGGTATTGCGCGAGCGCCACTCGAGGCCCCGGGCTCGCGTCGGGCCGTCCCATGGCATGGCATCGCTCGGACGTGTGCATTTGCTCCTCGGCGAAGACCATCGAGGAGCATCTTGGATAATTTTGCGAAAAAGGATTCGCGCGCGCAACATCGAAAAAGACGGGGAGTGGACGTCCGAGCGATGGCGAGATGGGGGGGGGGCGGCCGGGGCAGCTGGGCAGCGGGCAGCCTGGAGGGACGGATTGAGGGGGGGAGGTCGCTGCTCTATACCCCGAGATATCGGGCGACGAGAACCATGCACACATGTACACATACACCGATCCTGGCCAGGCCCATCCTTGGCCCAGGATCGGTGCATATGCCTTCATGGCCAAGCTAGGAGGGCGTATGCACCGATCCTGGGCTCCGGATGGACCTGGCCAACATCGGTGTATGCGCATAGTTTTGTTTCCTCTCGGGGTACAGCATAACATACTGTTCGAAACAGCAGATCAGTGAGATCGATGTTCAACCATAGCTCGAGCAGCAGGCGGAGCCGTGGACCTTTCCGATTCGTTCAGAGGTTAGAGGGGATGGGATTGAAGAAGGGAGGGAGGAGGATGAGGAGGAGGATGGTGAAGGAGTGAGGGGGAGATGAGGAGGGGGATCGGGGAGGGTGGTGATGATGGTGATGCTGATGCTGATGCTGATGATGATGATGATGATGATGATGATGGTTATGCTGCTGATGATGATGCTGCTGCTGATGATGATGGTGATGCTGATGATGCTGATGATGCTGACGCTGAGAATGAGGATGATGCTGCTGCTGCTACTGATGATGATCATGATGATGCTGATGATGATGATGATGATGATGATGCTGCTGATGATGATGATGATGATGATGATCATGATGAAGATGATGATGCTGATGCTGATGCTGATGCTGCTGCTGATGATGACGAGGATGATCATGATCATGATAGAGCTACTGCTGATGAGGACTTCGATGCTTGTGATGGTGATGGCGGTGATGTTGATGATGATGATGATGATGATGATGATGATAATGATGATGTTGCTGATGATGGTACTATTGTTAGTGACAGTGGTGACGATGCTGATTATGATGATGATGCTGATGATGCGGATGATGCGGATGATGATGATGATGATGATGATGATGATGATGATGATGATGATGATGATGATGATGATGTTGATGCTGATGCTGATGCTGATGATGATTATTATGCTGATGATGATGATGATGATGGTGATGATGATGATGATGATGATGATGATGATGATGATGATGATGATGATGATGATGATGATGATTGCGATGCTGGTGATGATATTGATGATGATGCTGATGTTGCGGATGCGGGTGCTGCTGATGATGCTGCTGCGGATGATGATGTTGCTGCTGCTGCTGATAATGATCGCGACCATGCTGGTGAAGTTGATGATGAGGATGCTTGTGGATGGCGATGATGGTGATAATGGTGATGCTCACGACGACGATGATGCTGATGCCAACGATTGTGATGCTGCTGCTGATGATGCCAGCGATGAGGTTGCTGTTGATATTTGTTGATGCTGATGCTTATCATGATGATGCTGGTGCTGATGCTGATGATAGTGATGATGATGAAGAAAATGATACTGATTATGCAGGTGATGATGGACGTGTCAGTCACGATAGTGGTACTGATGGTGATGAGTATGCTGCTGCTGCTGCTGTCGCTGTTGCTGCTGCTGATGATGCTGTGATGCTGATGATGATGGTGGCGACGATATGGTGATGTGCTGCTGCTGCTGCTAATGATGCTCATAAAGGTATTGATGAGGGTACTGATGGTGGTGCTGATGAGGATGATGAGGGACGGCTGACGAAACTATGAGGAATTACGTAAGGATATAATGAACAATGATGGGGAGAGCGTGGGATGAGGAAGACGGACAGAGAAGGGATGAGGGAGGAGGAGTGAGGAAGGGCGCGGGGGAGATTTGGAACATGGAGGGAGGAGGGAGAGGAGGTTGGGACAGGCTTGGTACGTTCGCGCCATATCTGACATCCTACCCCAGCCACCCACCCCTTCCCACTGCGTTTTTTTTGTTTTTTTTCGTATCCACAGACGCGTGTCACAGCGGACCCCGCATCGCACAGATGACCTCATGGTGTTACGCGCAATCGGGGAAAGAGGGAGCTGCGTACATTGCAGGAGGAGGTGGCGGATGACCAGGAGGACGGGCAGGCAGAAGAGAGGAGGAGAACCAACAGCAGCGGCAGGATCTGGAGTGGAACGAGCGGGAGGAGCAGGAGGACCACGGGACGGCGGAGGAGGGGAAACGAGAGGGGCGACAACGATGGAAACGGACTCGGATCCAGAAAAATGGTTCGCGCTGGGGCGAGCGCGCTATTCTGACCAATGGGAGCAAAATGCCGATCCGGAAATGAGGCCCATGCTTCAGCGGGAGCATTATGTTGAAACAATGGAAGCAGGTCTATGGTAAACTACCATAAGCAACTCAATTGTTGATTCCTGGTGTTGAAAACATTATTCGGAGAGGGCCAGGCATCTTTCGGGCTGAGTCAGGGGAGAGAGGGTATTCTTATTATTCTTCATAATGTGTAACTGTGGGGGAAGGGGGTAATGGGGGAGAGGGGGTTGAGGGTAGGGAGAGTTGGAGGAAGATTCAGTCAAGGTTGGAAAGAAGGTAAAAGGAGGACTACTTCAGGATGAGGTAGGAGGAAAGTGGAATCCACAAGGATGCTGCTGCTGCTGATGATGATGATGATGAGGAGGAGGAGGAGGAGGAGGAGGGAGGAGGAGGAAGAGGAGGAGGATGAGGCAGGAGTAACGAAGAGGGATGAGGGGGGAGGAATGTGATGTTCATTGCAAGAGGAGGGGGGAGCTGTTTGATTGATTTGGGCTCTCTTTGGGTACTCGGCGGCCTCAGGCGGCCCTCAGAGGCGTCGGAATCAACTGATGATATCATCCGGGGTGGGGGGGTAGAGGCGCGGCTAAGGGGGGAGGCAAGTGGCAGAACATGACAAGTGCTCACAGGTTTGACATGCTTTGGGAGCCTTTTTGTGTGGCTTCCGGGTGCGGCCTCGTCGCCACAGCTGGATCCGATGTTTGTTGTCAGCGCGCACTCCAAGACGGGTGGAGGGGAAGGGGACCTCGAACTCGCAGCGAAGGAGAGGAGGGCGGAGAAGGACGAGAAGGACGATCAAACATCTCTGTGGGCTGAAGAAGACAACGATGCCGGATGTCTCGGGGAAAGGGGAGGGTGGAGGAGAATGACGAGGAGGACGAGGAGGAGGAGGAGGAGGTCGTGCTGGACAAGGCGGAGCCGGAGGTGTTTCTGGACGCCGCCGTTCGCCGCGGCTGGACTCCCCCCGGGATCCTGGTCAGAGCGTGCTCCAGGCCGGCCGCAAGACGGCACGGGAGCGTGCAGACTTGTGAGGAGCTGCTTCCGTCGCCGGCGCGCCGAGGGAGTATGCAATCACGGGCGGCGAGCGTATCTGCATCCTCCCCCTCGTGGTCAGGAGTCTGGGGCTCGGGGGTGGACAGACCTCCTGCCCTGACACGTCGATGGAGGAATTTACCGCTTTCGGTTCGCGAGAGGGCGTCGCGGCCGTCGTTTCTGCGGGCCCAGGTCCGTCGGTTTCGGTCCAAGGCCGTTTTTCACTAAGGGGAGGTTTACGAAAGGGAGGGTTGTCCACCGCCGAATCCTCCCCCTCGTGGTCAGGAGTCCGGGGCGCGACCCCACAGATGCACGGGGGCGCGGGTGCCTTCGGCGCGGGGCCCCCCCGCGAGAAAGAACGCCCCGTGTCCACGGGGTCGCGGCCCAGGGGCCCCGCCCGCGAGGCTGCGGGTACGGTTAAGTCGGGCTTGTCCCCCTACAGGGGGATTTTCGACGAAAAATAAACAATACCCCAAAATTAATCAAAAAATAGTCCCAAAATAGTCTGGGGACTATTTTTGGGCTATTTTTTGACCTCTTTCGGGTATTTTGGGGGTATCTTTATTGTTCGTCGAAAATCCCCCTGTAGGGGGACACGCCCGACTTCAGGGTACGGACATATCTTGCGCCCACGAAGTGAGAAGGGGATCTATTGCTTCCTCAGAAGCCGTCGGGGCTTCTCAGCAGCCTTCCGGCCCGCTGAGAAGCCACCCGCGGCTTCGGAGGAGGCCCGGCAGACTTCTCGGAGGCCTTCTGGGCCTGCTGAGGAGACCTGCCCTTTCTGCCCTCCCCCGGGGCGAGCCGCCGAGTGAAGGGAGGAACACTTCCTGGTGGAGAGCCCGACGCCCGCATCATGAGGATCGGACATCTCGTGTGGATGCCTTGTAGCTTCAGGGAGAGGTAGGATGAGGGAGGGAGAGGACGAGAGGGCGGGCTAGAGAGGGGGGGGACGGAGGAGGGAAGGAGCAGGAGGGATGGGGCAGGTAGAGGAAGGAGAGGGGAGGTGAGGAGGCGGGGGAGCAGGAGCAGGAGCAGCAGGAGGAGGAGGAGGAGGAGGAGGAGGAGGAGAAAAAGGAAACGAAGGAGACGGGAGTAGGGATGAGGAGGAGGAGGTAACTGAGGAGGATGACTAGGAGGGAGGAGGGAGGAGGAGGAGCAGCAGAAGCAGGAGCAGGAGCAGAAGCAGGAGCAGGAGGAGGAGGAGGAGGAGGAGGAGGAGGAGTCCGATGCGTGCACGGTCCTGGTTAGCACACGCTGCTGAGGGGCCTGCATGCCGATGGTAGTCTTCAACCTGCGGCGGCTAAACATTACCCGTGACCCTTGGTGATTGTGTTGTTTTCATTGTTTTGCCGATCGGCGTGGGCCTTCGCACCCCTCTTTCCCCCCCTTGAGTAGATCTTGGCCGTTTTTTGGCGCCTGTTTCGAGCAGGTGGATTCGCCCCCATGGGGCGCATTCTTGCAAACAGTGGCACTACGCAGAGGTCCCGAGCCAGGCCCCTCACCCTTCCCCCCCACTGCCGCCCAATGTCGAAACGCCGAATACAAAGAACGCTCGCTTGTGTGATGCCA